TTAATATTCAGCAAAGTTTTTTAGCACTTAAAATAATGGCCTTTGCATTTAATAAAATGGTTTCAGCAGAATAACTCCTATAGCCAGTTAACTTTCCTGATCTTCTGCCCAGGCTGTTGCTAGTTTCCCTCTTTCATTTCAAAGAAAGTGAAATGTTGGCTGTGAGGCACGGTGCAGAGAGCCTGTGGGTGAGATAACATGGTAGAGTTAGCAGATTAAGGGGCAGGAGTCAAAGAGGCAGCCATCCACCCACCCATTCCCTCCTTCCAATCCTGACCCACCCCCCCTTAACCCTTCATCATGCTCCCTTCCTCTCACCTCCTCATCACCCACTTCCACTCCTCCCGACTCACCCCATCCCCACTCACCTGTTGTCTGGCTGTTCCCAGCTGTCAAACTAGGCCTATAGAGTCCTGGATTCTAGGTCATCCACCTGGAAGCAGTGCCTTCTGGGATACTGAAGGCCTATAAATTGGTGGTTTTATGTCAGCTGAACATCCAGATATTAACTTAACTCATGACTTATTAACTTAATTCTGCACCCTGAGCCCTCAGTCACCTCCACCCCCATGGACATGAGCAAGCCACCCTCAGAAGCCTGAGGGGACATTTTTAAGTCCCTAAAGCAAATGAAAATCCTCTGTCTCCTTTCTTTCCACTGCCCACTCCCTTGCCTGCCCCTGTTGCTTTTCCTGCTGTTCCTGGGGCATGGGAAGTTCCGGAGCTGTTCCTCCTCACCACTTGTTTTTCCTCCTCCCCATTCACCCCATCCCCAAACACCAGTTGCCTGGTTGTTCCTATCTCCAGACCAAGTTCCAGGACCACTGACACCTTGCATTCTAGCTAGCCCACCTGGAAGCAGTACCTTCTGGGATCCTGAAGGACTGCAACTCAGTGGTTTTATCTGAGGTGTAGACTCAAAAATGAACTTAACTTGAGCACAGTTCAAATATAATCCTCACCCAAAGCAGCATAACTTGAAAACAACTGGACAGCATTTAGCACTTGTTAGCAAGCTTTTGTGTGTGATCATTCAAGTTTTAAGTGCTCTTAACATGTTCTGACTGAAATGTGTACTCTCAGCCTGTTACATCATGAAAGCTGGGAATGACCTCACTGGAAAGCTCCTGAATGCTTGCTGCAATATAAGGATATTATAGCCTTCCCTTCTAAGAAGCAATGACCCCTTCATCCTGGGCAGCAGTTCTTTGATTTGAGGAAATCTGTGAAAGAGAAAAATGATTTGTTCTCTAAAGTCCTTGTCTCTATCCCACACAATGCCTCCACAAGTTTTGCTGAAACAGAAATTAATATCATCATCGTCAGTCCCTCAGAGTTGAGATTTACGTCTGTCAGGCTTGATGGGTCCTCAAGTGACTAAGGAACTCAATTCTGGAAATGGGTGCATGTTGTTGTGCAGGGGAGTGGAATTCACAGCCCTGGATTGGTCTCCTCCTTCCTCCACCACCGTCATTCCGCCTCAGTATTGAGTCATTGGGCCTCAAAGTGGTGCATGCCTTGGTGGACCAGGTGGTGCCACACCAAATGGTCAGCAGCTTGCTCCTTGCAGCCATTGATGTCAAGGCCTCTGTGCCTGAAGGCAACCTTGAGTGTGTCTTTGTACCTTTTCCTTTGGCCACCCTTTGAGCATTGGCCAATAGAGAGCTGGGGAAAGAGAATCTGGTGAGAGAGGCAGTTCTCAGATATCCGGACGCAGTGGCCCATCCATTGGAGTTGTTTTCTCAAGTGCAAGGTTTTGATGCTGGTGGATGCAGCTTCTTGGAGGATGCTTGCACTGGTCCAGTGGTCCTCCCATTTGATCCCAGGGATTTGACACGAGCACCACTGGTGAAAGCTCTCAAGGGTCTTAATGTGGCGTTGGTAGATGGTTCAGGTTTCACTGCAGTAGAGGAGGGTGGTCAGCATGACAGCCTTGTAAACCGAGACCTTCTTCGACTTCTGAAGTTCTCTATTTTTGAAGACAGGTTGTTGCAGCTTGAAGAAGGTGACACTGGTGCAGCTGGCCCAGTGCCGGATTTCTTCGTCAGTGATAGCCAGTTTAAAGAAGTGGCTGCTGAGATATGGAAAGTGCTCCGCATACTCCAGAGCCTCCCCACCTACATAAATAGTGTGAGGGATGTTCAGCTGGCCTGGGGAGGGTTGGTGGAGAATCTTCATCTTGGCAATGTTCAAGGACAGGCCAAGTCTCTTATATGAAGCATTGAAGAGATCTAAGGTCGCTTGCACATCCTGTGTGAAGTGACCTATCATGCAGCAATTGTCTGCAAACTGAAGGTCATGGATTTCCTTGGTGGTGAGTTTCATTTTTTGCCCAGAAGCACCCAGGATTAAAAAGCTTTCCATCTAGTCGATACTGGATACTGACGCTGGATGGTAGATCATCTTGGATGAGGTGGATGATGATGGTCAGGTAGATGGTGAACAGGGTGGGAGTGATCACTAAACAAAAACGGATATATCAAGTGCTGGCAGGCAGTTGGACTGAGAATTTGGCCAGGGCCAGGTTGCAGGCTGTTCCCAGGGCAATAACCGCTGTAGATTTGGGGCTCGGAAGACCTGGGAGCTGTAAGAAAACATGTGTGAGAGGGAAAGAACAGCCTCTAATGGCAGCAAGCAAGAAAGGATCCCAGATTTCCAAGAGGGGATGTGAAGGAGCAGCAGCCCATACTGCAGGGGTGGCTGCACCCCGAGACCCCAGTCTCCTCCTCCCCACCAATGTGAGAAGGCCACCCGCAGGAGCCTGAAGGGATATTTTTAACTCCCTAAAGCAAATGAAAATCCTCCCTCTCTTTTCCTTCCACTCCCCATTCCTCTGCCTGCCTCTGTTGCTTTCCTTGCTATTCTTGGGGCAGGGGAAACACCAAAGCTCTTCCTGCCTGCCCTATCTGGGCTGCATGGGGTCTGAGCTAATCTGGGGATGGGGACAGGGATAGTAGCAAAGGAAGGGTGGGAGAGAAGATCCCTCCTCCATGCCCCAAACCCTGGAAAGGGGATCCCCACTGTGTAGATGCAGGGAAGGGGATCCCCACTGCCCATCCCCACTGCTGCTTTCCCATCTCCATCTGAGCCCAGACCCCATGCATTCACAGTGGGGCAGATAGAAACAGCTCTGGCACTTCCCACACCCCCAGGACAGCAGGGAAAGCAACAGTGGCAGGTGAAGGAGGCAGAGGGGAAGAGGAGAGAAGGATGATTTTTCACTTTTGGGGGCTCAAAAAAGTCCCTGGAAATCCCTGTGGTGCATTCCAATCCAAAAGGATGTGCAGCCATCCCAATGTACTCCCTCTGGATCCACCCCTTGGAGCAAGTAATCCATACTTTAGAGGAAGACTAGAAAGAGGGCATCTATAGAGTGAACTCTTGCACTTACGAGACATCATCAGCCTCAGGATATTCTGAGCCAGAATCTACATCCTTGATTCCTATACTTAACAGTCCCTGATGGACCTGTCCATGGGCAGATCTAGAATTTTGAAAATGGGGGTCCAGATGGCGAGGTGCATCATCACATATAACACTACATTTTTTTCTCCAGTGAAAAAGAAACTAGAAGCTTTACTAACATGCTTGGGGCCTTGGGCTGGATTGTTCAGTTTAAACTGAGCAAAAACATAGAACTTCATTGGCATGCTTTAAAAGCAATCAGCAGGGCTGTGAAATAGGAGCTCCATGACCAGGAGCAGCAAAAAGACAGCAGCAGTTCAGAGCAGAGGAAGTCTTGATTGGTGGAATATCAAGACCATTAAAAAGAAGAGAGAGTTATTATCACCCGTGCAATGAATACTTGAGAAGGGATCAGGTAGATAATAAGGAGCCATGAAGTCAGTTGATGCCCTCAACACAGAATGGAAATGCTGCTGCCACTGCCAGGCAGTTGGTTTTAAATTTTGAGTGGAGTAGGAATCAGAGTTGGTGGGGAGGTGCAAATGCACCAATGCATCCCTCAGGATCCACCCCTGGACCTGTCCGACATGCATGGCCTTCCCAACACACTGCAGTAATTGATTCCTCAAGCTAATTACTTAATACATAAAAGGGAACTTTCTTTTGCTTCCTTAAAACTTGGTGCCTGATCATTTAATTGGGTGTCCCAAGTCCTAGGATTAAGAGACAAATGGAACACTTCTCCTGGCTATTGGGCTGAAAGGTGAGAAAGCCACCCCCTCACACCCCGCTCCCTTCCACCGACCACCTCCCCCAGGCTTATCTCCACCTACAGTTTGGGGGACTTCCACAGCATTATGTGATGACAGGGCTGAGACATGGGGATAGAGCAGCATTCTGAGCATGCCCAGAAGAGAAGCAAAAGGTGGCATCTCTAGTCTAATGGATGGAGGATGACAGGGAAGGTAATGAACAGGGGATCGATCACTCTAGAGATATCCAGTTCAATGCTTTCCCTCTATAGCATCCACTCCCATTACTGTGGGAGACTGGACATCATGCACCATTGGTTTGACTCAGTGTGGCATTTCTTATGTTCTTAAATCTGTTCCTTTTTCCCACAGAATATGTCTGTTTCTTTCAGAAAATTAATCAAATTCATCACAAAAAAGAGGGAACACAGAAAGAAAAGGAATTGCTCTGCACTTGCTTCTGTGCCTGTCTCCATCATCCAAGCCCCAGCACAAATTTTACATTAACTTCTTCAAAAAAATCTCCTCAAGAGAAATTTACCCCAACTAGGAAAGCTTGAAACAGTGGTGGAAGACTAAAACCCTGCATTTATACTGGGAATCATCTCCTCTTCACCCTTTAGCTGTATCAAGCAGTCTTGGTAGGACTACAGTTACCCCACACATCCCCTCCAATGCATGCAATATGCAATGTCCCTCAGTTCGGGGCTGTCTGGTTGGAGGGTGCTAAGGACATTTTCACCATTTATTACTGTCCCTCTCAGTGCTTAATGTCCCATGTTCTCCTCCTTCCTAGGGAGCAAAACCTGCTGTGAGGGGAACCACAACCCTCAGGCAACTGTCATGGCAAAGATCAATGTGACTGACATGACCCCCTCCGTATTCATCCTGAACGGCATCCCAGGTTTGGAAGAAGCTCACCTCTGGATCTCCATCCCATTCTGCTCCATGTACATCATTGCCATGGTGGGGAATTGCGGTCTTCTCTACCTCATCCGGATTGAGGACGCTCTCCACAAGCCCATGTACTACTTCCTCTCCATGCTCTCCCTCACTGATATTGGGCTGGTCACATCCATGGTGCCCAAGGCAATGTGCATCTTCTGGTTCAAAATGAAAAAGATCAGCTTCAATGCCTGCCTAACCCAGATGTTTTTCGTCCACACCTTCACAGGGATGGAGTCTGGTGTGCTCATGCTCATGTCCTTGGACCGCTATCTGGCCATATGTTACCCCCTGAGGTATGCCTCCATCCTGACCAACCCTGTTATCACCACAGCGGGGGTGGTCACCTTCCTCAGGGGGGTGATGGTGATCATACCTGTTGTTGTCTTTACCAAGCGACTGCCGTACTGCCATCACACCAACATCATCCCTCACACCTATTGCGACCACATGTCTGTGGTGAAGCTGGCCTGTGCCAGTATCAGGGTTGATGCCATCTATGGCTTGGTAGCTGCCCTGGTGATTGGGGGCTTTGACATATTCTGCATCTCTGTCTCCTATGCAATGATCCTCAGGGCTGTGGTCTCTTCCAAGGAAGCACGCAGCAAGGCCTTCAGCACCTGCACGGCCCACATCTGTGCCATTATCACCAGCTACACACCAGCATTATTCAGCATCCTCGCACATCGCTTTGGAAGCCATCACATCACAGCACACACTCATATCCTTATAGCCAACCTCTATCTGCTCCTGCCTCCCATGCTCAACACCATCGTTTATGGGGTGAAAACCAAGCAGATTCGGGAAAGTGTCCTGAAGCTGTTTAGTGGGGGAAAGGCTGGTTCATCTCCTGGTGCCTGAGCACAGATTCACAAGGGAATTACATTATACAGAGAGAGACAAACTAATGCAGAGACTGAAAGGTCAGTTCCACATGCTCCATGTCAACTCCAGGAAGGCTTAATGAATGCCCATTTCCTTTAGATCCTCCACATGCTTTAGCATATCCCCAACTCTGCCCTCTGAATACATCCCAGGTCTTTGTGGACTTCCTTCTCTATAGTGGTTATCATAAAGCATAATTCCCAGTCCTTGCATCCCAGCCTTGGGGGTTCAGAGCTCTTTGGCAATATTAATGCACAGGCAGTAGTGTTTACTCTATTACTTGCTGGCTATCATCTCCTCTTTCAGATTCAGGGCTCACCTGGAAATTAAAGCCAACACCATTCACATAAACAGGATTTCTCATCTGACTGCTAAGCTGCCTGCCTGCCTCCATTCCAGAACCCAGCCCATTGATGGTTAGGAGGACAATCTCCTTCCCGTTAAACTCACTTGCCCTTCTCTCATCATGTCCCAAATCTCCAGGGAAAAAATGTGAGTTCTGAAGGAATCTAGGAGGGTGGGAAATCCAGAATCTGAAATAAAAGTGATTCATAATCAGATGCTACGCCAGATTCACAGATTAAAAACAATTCCTCAATCTGCACTGGAGTGATGAGTTCTCTGCAGGATGTTCAACATAAAAGTTAGACCCATATTACAGGTTCTGTACATGTCCCAGAACAGAAAAATAGAGAATGCACATACAGTGCCAAGGAGGCTTCCCAGGGGAAACAACTGAGATGAGGAAAGTCAAAGATGATTAAGTTCCCCAACCTAGGGTCAGGACACAGCTCAGTCCGGCAAAAGAGTTGTGTTGCTCTCCTTCAAAATCCAGACATCCTAAGTCAGGCCCAACTGAAGATTGCAAGAGTTTTAATAAATTATAATGAATAGCTTTTCCTGTCTCATCTGGGGTTATCAGTGTCTTCATTACTGTTGTCCTTATCAAGGGTCACTTATCAACGTGCTTTCAGTGTTGAAGTCTCAGAAACTGTGGTGCTAGCAAAGTTACATCCCGGACTTCCCAACACCAGTCTTGTCTTAAAGAATGATCCCAGGCTCTGATCAGTGGTAAAGGTTCAGCCATGTATATTGTCTAGAAGCACAGCCCTAGCACGTTTTGGCCTAACAAGTATATCAGGACATTAGGCATTTGTACATGTGACAAGGTAGTTGTGGCAACACCACACAGGCTCCCCTAGGCCACCACAAAGTTCCCCTAATTTCCAATTCTCCTTTTATACAATGATCAAAACAAATTACCTCTTGCCTTCCATCTGTATCCTGAACATCTTAAACCATCCTGTACCATAAGCTTGTTTCACATCCTGACCTGGGTGTTCCCATTCCAGCCTTATCATCCTGGTACTGGAATATCCTACCCTGTACCATCATCTCCCCTACTCATCTCTTGGCAGGAACACCCATCTGTCCCACATGCCACATTTTATGTGAGGAGTTCGTCCATCAGTCTGGTTTGTTGGTGAGGCCCACTCTGGCCAGTGCTTTAGCCAGGTCTTTGTGTGAGCAGCATATATTGATCAAGGCCTTAAATGCCTTGAATGCCTTAAAGGCCTTAAAGGCCTTAAATGCAAGGCCTTAAATGCCTGTACACCAATGCTCGTAGCATGGGAAACAAACAGGAGGAACTCGCCCTCAGAATAGCTAGTTCAAATCCAGATGTCGTAGGGTTAACAGAGACATGGTGGGACTCATCCCATGACTGGGCAGTTAACATTAGGGGCTATAGGCTGTACAGGCGGGATAGAGAAGGCAGAAAAGGGGGGGGGGTGGCACTTTATGTCAAGGAGCACTACACATCCTCTGCCAGCAGTATGGGGTCAGGGGAAGGGCGAGCTGAAGTGCTCTGGGTCAAGATCCAGGGGGGGCAAGGCGAGAGGGATTTGACGGTGGGGGTCTATTACAGACCCCCCAATCAGGAGGAGGAGCTGGACAGGGAATTTTCAGGCCAGCTTGCGGAGACACTAAAAGCAAGGGATGTAGTTGTCATGGGCGATTTTAATTACCCGGACATCTGCTGGGAGGAGCAGTCAGCCGGGACGGACCGCTCCAGGAGGTTCTTGGCCGAGTTGCAGGACCTCCACTTGATTCAGGAGGTGCACAGTCCCACCAGAGGAGATGCTCTGCTGGACCTGGTCCTGGCCGCAGGCGACGACCTGGTAAGAGGCCTCCAGGTTCTTGACCACCTGGGCAATAGTGATCATCGCGTGCTGGAATTCACCATCCAGCGTAGAGTGTCAAGGGCCCGCAGCAAGGTGGTGGCCCTAGACTTCAGGAGGGCCAACTTCAGTGAGATGAGGAGATTAGTGGGAGAGGAACTGGGGTCCTTGAGGGCAGAGGAACTCAGCATCCAAGAGGAGTGGTGCGGGCAGGAGTGTCCAAAAGCCCCCCTGGCTCACCAAGGGTGTCCGGGAATGCCTGCTTGCCAAAAGGGTGGCGTACGCCCGGTGGAAGGGGGGTGTAATCTCCAAAGAGGAGTATACCTCCTCTGCTCGGGCCTGCAGGCGGGCTGTTAGGAAGGCCAAGGCGGAGATAGAGCTCGGATTAGCGTCCAGGATTAAGGATAACAAAAAGTCCTTTTTCAAATATATTGGGAGGATGAAGAAGGCGCCGGGTAATGTGGGGCCCCTGCAGGATATGCGGGGCAATCTGGTGGTTGCGTCAGAGGATAAAGCGGACCTCTTTAACCAATTCTTCACCTCCGTTTTCTTGTGCAGGGACCGGGACTTCCCTGCTGTGATAGAAGCCGGACGCGAGGGGATCGCCTTCAGACCTCAGGTTGGGGAGGACCGGGTTAGAGAGCTTCTGGAGGGGCTGGACGCGTTCAAGTCAGCGGGTCCGGATGCTCTCCACCCCAGGGTGCTGAGGGAGCTGGCTGGGGTTATTGCAGGGCCCCTGGCACGGCTCTACGAGCGATCGTGGTGCTTGGGCCAGGTGCCAGACGATTGGAAGGTAGCTAATGTGGTCCCCATCTTCAAAAAAGGGAAAAGGGAGGACCCGGGCAATTATAGGCCCGTCAGTCTTACCTCAATCCTGGGGAAGCTCTTTGAGAAGATCATCAAGGAGCACATTTGTGATGGGCCGGCATCCGAGATGATGCTCAGGGGCAATCAGCATGGATTTATTAGGGGGAGATCATGTCAGACCAACCTGATTGCCTTTTATGATCAGGTCACAAAGGCCATGGATGCAGGTGTCGCGGTGGATGTAGTCTTTCTGGACTTCAGCAAGGCCTTTGACACCGTCTCTCACCCCATCCTAATTAGTAAACTAGGCGACTGTGGCATAGATGCCTACACGGTCAGATGGATTGCAGATTGGCTGAAGGGTCGCACTCAGAGGGTGGTGGTGGATGGATCATACTCGACTTGGGGGGAGGTGGGTAGTGGAGTCCCCCAGGGCTCGGTCCTGGGGCCTGCGCTGTTCAATTTCTTCATCAGCGATCTTGATGTTGGGGTGGAGAGCAACCTGTTTAAATTCGCTGATGACACCAAAATTTGGGGGGAGGTGAGCACGCTAGCAGGGAGAGAGAGATTGCAGAAGGATCTGGATAGGTTACAGGGGTGGGCAGACAGGAACAGGATGCGTTTCAATACGGACAAGTGCAGGGTGCTGCACTTGGGTAGTAGGAACCAGCAGCACACTTATAAGATGGGGAGCTCCCTACTTGAGAGCACGGAGGCGGAAAGGGATCTTGGTGTCATTATTGACTCCAAGATGAACATGGGCCGACAATGCGAGGTCATGGTTGGCAGGGCTAACCGGACCTTGTCGTGCATCCACAGGTGCATCTCGAGTAGAGCCAGGGAGGTGATCCTCCCCCTCTATGCGACGCTGGTCAGGCCGCAGCTGGAGTATTGTGTCCAGTTCTGTGCGCCCCATTTCAGGAGGGATGTGGACAACATGGAGAGGGTCCAGAGGAGGGCCACCCGCATGATCCGGGGACAACAGGGCAGACCCTACAGTGAGAGACTGCGGGACTTGAACCTATTCAGCCTCCACAAGAGAAGGCTGAGGGGGGACCTGGTGACCGTCTATAAACTCACTAGGGGGAACCAGAAGGGTTTGGGGGAGACGCTGTTTCCCCTAGCCCCTGCTGGCATAACAAGGAATAATGGGCACAAGTTGATGGAGAGGAGGTACAGATTGGACATCCGAAAAAACTGCTTCACAGTTAGGGTGGCTAGGAGCTGGAACCAACTTCCAAGGGAGGTGGTGCTGGCCCCTACCCTGGGGATCTTTAAGAAGAGGCTGGATACTTACCTGGCTGGACTCATTTGAGTCCCGTTTTTGTTTTTAGGGTGAGTGGTTTTGTTTGTGTTTTTGGGTTGTTCTCCCGCCCTGGCGGGGGGGCGGGCTAGAAGATCTATTAGGTCCCTTCCGACCCTGAAACTATGAAACTATAAGGCCCAAGTGAGGCCTACAATGAGGGAAATTGCCTACTGGGGAGATAGAAGATGGAGTTGGGAAGAAGAATGTCCCATCTTTCCTTACAGACCTGTTGTTCCTAATCTGGAGCGTATAAGAAACATAGTGTCTAAGAGTATAAGGGCGTTTGTACACGCCACATTTTTTGCCCTTTCTTGCACTCCAACAGTGCAACTGTTTGAACAAGTGGGTTTAATAACTCCTAGGACCTTCTGGAAAACCTCCTCCTGGTTCTGGTCAAGTTCTCTGTCTACCAGACCTGGAAGGAGGCCCTGGCAGGGAGAACCCAGGCAACAATGGGACTGATTTCCCTTCACTAGGTCATGTACATCTCTAGGCAGAGTTTCACTGGGAGGTAAACAGAGGCTTTTTGAGTATGTTCAAGAAGCAGGGGTTGCTAGGTGGCATTTTCTGCTTAGTATTCCCCCTTGGACCCTAGTTATGAACCTGTGACCTACACTCCCATTCCTGTTTTTTTATCCATTGTCCAAGAAATCACTTTTTACACAGTTAGTGGCCTCCCTCGA